TGTTTGCTGTAGGGGTGTCACTTTTGCGTTCCGTTCCAAAGAACGGGAACGGAGTCTGCGTTCCCGTTCTAGGAACGGGGAACGCTGCAAAATATACCTTTTCCGGTTGTTTATTAGCCACCAGAAGAATGAAATGCGACTTATACTTGTAAAAACAGTCAAAGATTCAGTGGCGTTCCCCGTTCAGGAACGGGAACGCAGACTGCGTTCCCCATTCATGAACGGGGAACGCAAGCATCGATCTAAAATTAGATAATACTTAAGATTCCGGAGTCTCACTGTTGCGTTCCCATATTCCAAGAATGGGGAACGGAGAACGGGGAATGCAAATCGCGTTCCCCGTTCCGGAAATGGGAACGCCAGCACGCGTTCCCCATTCTCCGTTCAGGGAACGGGTAATCATTTCGCTTAATATGTAAATAATTGTATGTCAGCAACTTAACTATGTTCGAAAAAATCTCATATAATACAGTTTAAAATGCGTTCCATTCCCAGGAATGGAACGCTTGGGAACGGGGAATGCTGACACCCCTAGTTTGCTGACCGTCAGACCGGCAATTAGTCGTTAGAAATGCGAGCATAAAAAGAAAGAGAAATCGTGTATCTTAGAATATGAGAGATGAATATGATTGGAGCAAATAGTGTGAATAACAATCTTGCTTAATGGTTTTCTTTTCTAGAATGAGTTAGAAGCACGACTACAACTCAAGTATTTTGTTCGGCGAACAACAATCTGGTCGAGAAGATTAGTTCAATTTGATTTATTTCGAGGATGTACAATTCAAGACGTTTTTGACGGGAAAAGATTGACACCAGTAGTCATCATCCAATTGATCCGTGCAGAAATCGCCCGTACCAGCATCTCCAAAATCATCCATTCTTTTGATCTCGACATATGTGCTGCAGCATTCAATTCGAAACAGGTCTTTATCACGTTCGGTTGTTTGCAAAGTCTGAATACAGGATACACAACATGTTACGCCTTATAGAATTCATCAGCCGAGTTCGTCAGACGGGCAACACGTTTAGCGAAATATCAACAACGAGGATTCAATCTTCTTTGTCCGAATGGATTCGACTTGCGTACTTTTCTTGCGACAAATATTCGAAATTGTCAAGGGACTCAACAAGAACGCATGTATCGATTTCACAAAGGACGCTTCGGTGATAATTGTGATTGTTTCGAGGTTCAGAGAAAGTTTAGCGAGTATTTCGAATTACATTGAGGTACTCTGATCTATAGGAATGCGTGTATTTCGATCGTCGATTTGACTCAACAAGACCCACTTCGAATATATTTGTTGGTCAACTTATCTCATTACTAAAACTCTAAGCAGATATACATTCAGCTTCGTCAATATAAAGTTGATCAGAGTCAACAGATGACAGAGCGTGATAGTGAAGCATTGGTCTATCATAAGCTAAATGGATTTGTCGGTCATTAGGACCGGGTACTGAGGTTTTGAATATCAGTGGACGCTGTCCGCGTTGATGAACAACAATATCTCGACGAAGAAACATCACCGATGCAGCAACAGTAGTGCCATCAGCAAACGTTCCCTTTAGACGCATTTGCCGAATGAAATCGTTCCAACATTGGAATTGTTCTTTATCTACGGTTGTTTCGTAAATTTCACGATTGATCGACATGTAGTCTGCAATCAATTCGCGTAAAACCATATGTCCATCCTGATCACCAGTAAGTTGATAGCTCAGTGCCCGGAAAAAGCAGTTGCCATCGGATTCAATTGTCTGAGTGTTCATCTTCAATGAGCAATGACTGTCGAATGTTGATGCATCCATAGAATGACTAGAACGCGATCCGGACGACGTCTTTTTGCACTAGAGAAAGACATGGAAGAAAGAACTCTTGTCTTTGTGTCAATGCCTACAGAATTCAATGTTTCTTGGTCATTTGTGTGATCTGTTGACGTATTGATTTTATGGTTATTTTGGAGCATAGAGGCTTTTCCTGCTGGTAGATATACACAAGATTCATCGACTGATTGAAGCCGCACTAAATGCACAACTGGACAATCGTCGTCTGTCTGATAAACTTGTTCGGAATGAGCTGTGTGAATGTAGATGGTGATTCCATAAATTTCACTTGCTAGCAGGATGTACAACTGATCCTGATTTAACGGATCATGTGTCGACCTATGTATACTTATAGAACCGACACCATGTGTACGAATATGGCTTTGCTGACCTTACCATTCATATTGACTGTTCAAGGTTGATGAAATTGATCTAGCTTCATCTTCATTTCCGAATAGGCAAAGGGATAACGCACGTTCGAACGAGCAATTGATGTTGCTGATGTCTTGAACAATCAAACCGTAATGCTCTAGCAGTTTGATTTTCAGATCATTCAGTTTGGTGGTGTCAATATGAGCGCAAAGGAGTGATGTATTCTCTGTCATTGCCCCACATAGAAGAACGACATGGTTAAAATAAAGATGCTTTCAAACGAAATGAATTTTACGCGCCTCTCATTTCATTGTTATTTTCATCGCATTTAAGTTATCTTCCGTTTTCGTATTTCATCATCGCATTTCCGACATTAGGTGATGAAACGGTCGTTCAACACTATTTCGAATGGAAGTAGTTCCATGTGCAAAGGAGATGAAACACTAGAAGGCCTGGTGGTAGCTGTAACTGATCTCTCTAATAACCAAGCTGAAAGGAAAGGCAAATATTGGACAGCGTTGATCTGCGATTCGAATCAAAACATTAATCGAATCACGAAATATCTGTCGTCAAAAACAATATGTTCTCTTCATGTGAAAATGCTCCAGTACTTGAAGGATCAAACTGGAATCAAATTGAATAAATTGAGATCTAGTGGAGATCGCGTGTATACGACGACGAATGAAACGACTGCAATAACGAAACCGGTAGTATTTACGCCCACATGTACACGAATTGTGAGCATCCGAGAAGTTCAATCGATGTCAGATGGAGACTGTGTCACATTGACATGTAACATCGTCGATATCGGTTCGGTAAGCATCGACATAGATATGATCCGTGCACGCTCTGTCGTTCAATCCTTAGGATGATGCGGTTGTCTTCAATAATGGTGAGAAACGAGTTCAGAAATTGAAAAGAACTTTGGTCGTGTCTGGCAAGACTGATTCTCTCGAAATGACTCTCTGGCAAAACCATTTCAGTTCAGTACAGCAAAATGTGTGCTACACAATCAAGTTGGCCAAGATCAAGGTATTCAACGCTGAAGTATCCATAACAACTGGCATATATACAACGTGAGCACACACACTCTCTCTCTCCATAGATTATTAGTGGTTCCATCTAAATATCGTTGAATGCAAGGATTCAGAGAGTGCTGCAAAGTCGCGAGCATACATGAACTATGAGCACTTTGCCGCAACACGAGAATTCTGACTATACTTGTAGATTTGATCGGATCGAAGATATCGGCGAAACTAATTGCTCTGATTCTACTCTAATCTCACATGAATCGACCCTAACGGGTGTAATCACATCGATCGCGTTATTAGAGAAACAATGCGCCTGCCCAGCATGTTATTCGACGAACGTAGAATGCTACGATAAAACGATCAAATGCAACAGTTGCAAATCTAGATCTTTGAATGTGGCCAACGGAGTTGATCGAGATAGACTGAAAATTAGTATTATGAATATCGATGGAACAGCACTTGATCTTAATGTGAATGCTGAGAAAATTCGAGTTTTATTGAATCAATCAAATCACCGAGAACTGTTCGAAGCAGATTTAATTGAAAATGAAGACGTATTGATTGCTTTATCTTCGATGAACGTTTCCGTTTGTTACAAGACGAAAACTAAACATATCAGTACCATTAAGATTATTGACAGAGATGAATGATCAAATAAAACCATAATCAGAGACGCTTGCGACTATCGTTGAAAGTCGATCATTGAGATGAAATGACCATAGACTACTGTCATTTCTAAAGAACTGTCGTCACTAATGAATGTGTCCAGGATCTGACACATATTTTTAATATCAGAGGCACTTGCGGTACTTTACCGCTTGCATGTTTCTTAACTGTTGTATGCAATCGAGCACATTACAAGAATGTATATATCGTACAATGACAGTGAACCAATGAAGCGATTCAAAACTCTTTTGTCCGCCTTGAACGTGCAAATGAAGCATATTATCATTCATGTCATTCAAAACAAAGTAAAAGATTTATAGTTGTTTAATCCCAGACAAATAAAAACGCTGTTGTATTTATATAAAAGAAGTTAGTCGATCTAGTTTGCTGGGGATGAATCAGTAGCATTTCAAATACCTGAGGTGACCATACGTGTGTTTGGTATCAGACGTTCTTTGCGCTTGTATGAAGAACCTAAGCAAACAACGTACACATTACGTACGCTATAGACCAAACTCAGTATTTCGGAATGATAGTTGCGTCGTGTTTCACATTTTAATCCCGTAGGGATTGTGCTGAAAGCTTTTTGGGGTGGGTGTCTGGAATCGATGATCGGCGGATCTGTTTCCTTAGTTGAGGATTTTATGTAGGTTAGGTGTTCAGTTCTTGTCGGTTTGTTTATAATGGAATATGAAGCGGATGGGGGTTTGGAATGGCCAGGAGTGATGTCAGAAGACAGTTGAAATGGCTCGGTGTGCCAACTTTTATGCAATTGCAACTGATCTTAGGAGTAATAAAAGAACGACGAATAAACAATCGTATGTATTACCGTAGCTAAATGCAGTGAAGGCGAAAAATAGAGATTTCAAAAGATACATTCGCTAGACTCAGACGTGTCAAATGTAACCCTAATTCATTGAGTTAAACCTGTTCAATATATGGGAATTTGGCAAAGAGAAAGAGAGAAAACCGACACGAGTAAGTGATGAATGTTGTTGGTGTTCATAGCAAATTTGTATTAATGGTAAAAGTATTCTTTTGTAGTTGAGTGTTTGTTCCAGTTGGACTCATAAATGGGAGTTAGAGATGCTTTTTCGCAGAGTTGCATATTTCTGGATGGAATGGCGATTGGTCTCGTGGTAGTGAAGTTGATGGGCAGAAGTATGTAGATGAGGATGAGGATGCCTGTAAAGTGGGATTGGCTTAGGGCACACTAAGATTGCTGTTTGACGTTCTATATTTTTGACTCTTGTGTATGCTTCCTGGCGCATTTGATATGTTGTGTATGGTTGTGATGTTGTTCGATTGAAGTGGCCCAAGTGCTTATCGTATTGCGTCGTCGTTTCTTTCTTCTTATTGCATATTGTATTGCTAATATAAAATTGAGGTTTTTTATGCTTCTCCAAAAAGAGTAGGAAAAATTCAGTATTTTGTTTTCGAAAGTTACTAAATATATCTGCGCAAAAACATTCGAATTGTTTCTTCGTGTATAAAAAATTGTTAGATCAATTTGTGCCACATTGCGAACACGAAAAAATACCTGTTCTCCATAGTCGAAGTTTAAGTGAGTCGGCACGGCGAGCGCTACTCGTTTGTTTGTTTATATGAAGCAAAAACATTCTTGTACAAAAGAATCGATCATCGTCATCCTATCTATATAAGAAACCTACTGTCTTAGAAGAAACACTCACCCTTCTACATCAACATATTATTTTTACAGTCGATAACTATTACTATCCCACGCTGATATGTTCGTTCAAATAAAGCTCTGGAGAAAATGAAGGAATACCTTTCTCTTGCTTCAAAGAATAGAAATAATGCATTTTTCAACTTCATGATGAACCGAAGACGTCCCTTACGACATACTATTCAAGTACGTTTTTTTGAGTTTTTCAGGATAAACACTATTCTTAGTGTTTGATAACGGATGCCAAAAAAAGTTTGGACAGCATCTTTGTCAACGTATGATCTGCCAGAATCTTTTTCGGAAAAATTAAAAATTATAGTTTAGAAGCAGAGTTCAGAGGTCTCTTAGAACAAAACCTTGAATTTTTCTCTCAAGCATTTATAAAGATTGACGAAATAAAGCTTCAGATATTTCAGAAACGTGTTTTGGACAAAGCTTCTGAGTTGACAATTCTACTCAACGTATTTGTTCACTTTAACGTAATTGAGAATACTTGATGGAAGCAACAATTCTAATTATCGGTTGGATTAGAATTTCTTGCTCTTGTGGGAGCGCATTTACAAGTATCTTATCTATCTTTTGTTCAAGAATATCAAGTAATTCTTTGAAAAGCCTAAAACATTATGTTTGATACTGAATCAGTGGATTTCCATGTGCTTCACTAACAGTTTTTCGAACATATTCAAGCTGTTAATATAGATCTTTGGAATATAAGCGAAAGCGATATCCTATTCTCTTTTTCATTGTTCACGGCGAGGCCCAAAGCAGGCCACCAAGCCTGCCTGTCTGCCTGTGACAGGCATAAGTCACGATTTTCAAGCCTGACCTTTCTAGTTTTTCCTATTCCGTCATAATGCTACATCATAAATTGAATAGTTTTAAGAAAAAAAATGCGAATCAGCTCATTTTGAATGTTTATGATGAAGCTGTATGAATTATGCTGCTATGTCATAAGAAAGAATAAGAGACTCGTGAATATTCAAGTCTCTCACCATTACAAAAAGTCTACTCTCTAAAAAAACCGGGTGATACTGAACCATAAAAGGTTTTAGCTAGCGTCTAAAACCTTTTATGGTTCTAGATTTGGGTACCATCTTCAGAACCTTATTTTCAGAACCTTTTGGGTTCTAGCAAAGAATTCTGAAACCTTTTCTAGTTCGGGAAATTTGGCTAAAACCATTTTAGGTTCTAGATTTTTTCGCTAAAACCAAAAAAGGTTCTGAAAATGGTACTGAAAAAAGGTTCAGTATGACCCGATTTTTTTACAGAGTATGTAAGTAAGCACTTCTATTCAATCATTAGTACTTATTCATTACTACACGGTCTTGTTGAGCTCACTTACGATCAAACAGCTTTTTCTTCTGCGGATTTCCTAATGAATCGTCATCAATCTTCATTTGATTTCAATATATCAATCCACACTCTTGTCTAAGAAATTCTTGGAAAATAGGTATAAACCAAAACGAAGGTTTTACAGACATTTCGCTATATTTTATATTTTCTTTTACCGAGATCATGACTGTATTTCACATACATATATAGGATTATTTTATATCAATATATTCTGTTTCTAACTCTCTATAATGTAAACCTAAACTAACGAATGGCGTCATCCATTTTTTGAACTGGATTTTCCTTGCAACTGGTTGTTTTCTAATCAGAAATCACTTCTTGTCAATTATCAGTGATTTTTTAAGCGATAGCAAACAGAAATACCTAATAGAACGGCAAAATTTTTTTCATTGCTGATTTTATATGAGCTTGGAAATATAGCGTGTAAAAATCGTTCTCTGCAAAGAGTCATTTCAAGTCTTTTGTCAGATTTTTGCATTATATTGTTTCTACTATGATCATCTTTTTGAATTGCAAGGAAGCATTTAACTGTCATGAACTAGGACTATCATTTAGATAGCGATCTTTGTCATTATGATATTATTGTAAAACCAGACAGATCTAACACAAGCAGACCAGGTCTAAGAAAAAGTACAACAGGCACAGGCAGGCTACATAGGATATCAGCCTGTTACGGGCAGACCAGACCTACAAAACCATGACCTGTTTGAACCTCTGGTTCAGGGTAAAACGCAAAAGCGATATATCCCAGGTGAATTATTAACGTTTATTTTACTTACTCCAGCACTTGATATTGAAATTGACCATTATTAATATCAGATTCATATTTGCCATCTTCATTTAAAAAGTTGCTGATAAGGGATGTCGTGGATACATTTGATGCAGAATCATGTGAAGGAACGACTTGCTGTGATGAAAACATCAATTTCACATTCGACGGTATAATAGGCTCATCTAAATCCAGTTGACAACTCATTCCAGTTGATAATACAAAAACAAACATAAAAAACAGATACGAAAGGGCTCTGCATGAATGAAAAGCTTGTATTGTAAGAAAAAAGCTACTTCACTACTGGTATACATTAGGGTATTGATAAGCAGAGATAGATAGAATGAATGAGGAAGTTACAAGGGAAAATTTTACTAAAAAACCATTGATCTCAAAGAAATAATCTCGTAGTATGTGTGCGTCGTTTATAGGCACTACTCTTCTTAATAAGTATTTCTGATAAGAAACTCTTATTTTGTTTATATGCAGTATGTCAATCTTTGTCTAATGCTATCTATATCAATACCTTAACTTTTCAGGACTTCCTTTTCTTTTTGTCCGTATTATATCAGATTAAATTCAATCAAAATGCCACGTCAGTATAACGAGAAAACTTGTATGATTATTAAAAAATCAAAGTTTAACAGAAAGATTTCAATGTTTTATCTAACATCGTGACAATTAGAATTATAAATATTTTTAATGAATACTGAGGAACCCTTATTAAGTGCTTTTCAGTGAACTAACGTAAGATCAGAAAGAAATGAATTACCGTTACATGAACTACTTTGCATGTCGTCCATTGTTGATGTTGTCATCACACTCGAATAGTTTTGATCTAAAGATATCTGGAAAAGTGTAAAAAATTGCTTTAGACATATAGAGAAACCTTTTAATATGATAGATTTATCATTGGTATTGTTATCGAGATATGACTTAATGTATTGTTGTATCATTTCCTTACTGAACACAGTATCATCAATTGTTTTTGACAATGATCTGTTAAAAATATCGCATTGGCATGATGAACTTGGTTTACTCGCATGACCTTCTTCGACCCAACTAGGTAATGCAAAAACAATTGATTCGCTCCAACTGGCATCCTCTGCGAAACTTTGTGAGAGAGCGTCAGCTGATAAAACTACAAACTCATTTGGACATTGTTTTATTCGATGATATCGAATATGATGTTTGTCTAAAAACAAGGGATCAATCACTATTTGTCCATGATCAAGACAGATCGACGAGTCTTCTTTGTTAATTAATCTACTGAGAGCCTCTCGTTTATCATTAGGAATAATGTACCAATGATGAATGCCGCCTTCATGATGATAATCAAGTGAAAAGAGATGTTGTTCGGTACAACTTAATGGAAAGATCGCACCTATTCCATGAGCTCTTTTTACACATGGAACGCATTCACTTATGATTTCTTTTCCAGCTAATCTAAGTAGTGACATCTTCGGTATACGATGAATATCAAAATTAACTTGTGCCATTTTTTTAAGAAAGAACGTACTATTTAAAGAATATGATATATTTAATTGTCGCTGATCGTTGTTCAAATATGAAGATAAGTCTGACCAAGGACTACATTCATCGCTTATGACTGCTGTTTGTTCGTTAACTTTATCATTACGACTAATATTTCGCACAGAATAGATAAGATTATTTGAATTCACTTTAGCTATCCGTTTGGTTATCGGATGTAATACTAATTTTTTTGGCTTTTTCTTCAGCGCAAATTTACACTGAATATTTGGTTGAATTTTAATTGCACCATATTTTTTTAAGACTCTTTCCTTGTTGTGAATAAAACCGACAATATTTTGAAGCTCCTTTTGATTGATTTGGAAAGTTGGAACATCCACCATTACGAAGAATACTATTTTCTTCTATAAAATGAAAATTGAGTATTAACAATATATGGATACTTGATACAACGAAGCAACTTGTTAACTGAAACTCTTCACTATTTTAATATCAGCAAGAATGTAGGTGTTTTTTTCTTGAATTTATCTACAGGTCTTTCAGAATATAAAACAAGAACATATCTGTTACGTATGATAGGTCATCTCTGTTGGTAAATCTAATTTGTCGAAGGCATTTTATATTTTAACCAAAGTAAATGATACGTATATCTTCCTGAACTTATTTGAATAGTGAGGAATCTTTCATGAGTTAGCACAATTTTATGAACAGGAATGTATCGACATATTGAATGTAGGGTCTTGAAAGCCGGGAGCGCAGATCTCTAACTACCTCTTCAATAAGAAAATCTCGAATTTCTTTCACGATCGCGCACACTTATAAAAAGTTTTTGTTTTCTTTTCTATACGAAAACAATTTTTATTATCAACTTTTTATTTGTATTTCGGAAAATTTCCATCAAAGAACGTGAAAACCAAAGAAATCCTGTACACTGTAAACAAAAATGATGTACTACCGAACCCATCGAAAAAGTTCCGCAGCTTCTAAAAGCTTCTGAATGCGACGACAAATCCAATGCAATGGTTTTCAAAATCTACGAAACTATTTTAAGTTCCGTAAATCGGAAAAAGGTTTCGGCGCGAGATGCGAAATCTTAATCATTCTGTATAAAACTATAGTACTGAGTCTTGAGGTTTCGTATCTCCCGACGAAACATTTTTTAGCTTTGCGAAACTTAAAATGGTTTCGTAGACGATGGTTCGGAGACTGTGTCCGCCGTCAGATCCTTTTTAGGTTTCGTAGATTTTGAAAACCGCTGGATTCGATTTGTCGCCACATTCTAAAGCTTTTAGAATCTACGGAACTTTTTCGATGGGTTCGGTAGTAGACCCTTTTTTACAGTGTATCCTCCTTAAGGTTAGAGATGCACCGGCCCTTTCAAATCGTTATAAAAAATAAGTTGTTCTTATACTTAAAATCGTCAGTGCTTACTGCTCATTGAAGATCCTTGAACGCGATATCGCTTAGTCTAATAAATACTATCATAGCAGTATGAAAGTTTCACTTGGATAGAGAAAAGACTGGAGGCGACCGTTGAAAAACCCAAAAATTTCCGATTTTTCACCAGTCGTCCTCTATCTTTTTTTCGCGCAATAGTTTTACAAACCTTGATTGTAGAGTCCGTTAGTCTAATCAACATCTTGCTCAAGTATCTTCAACGACTGGTAAGCACTGAGGATTTTAGGTATAAAAACAATTCGTTTTTGCCAAAGACTTTATAGGAGCGGCGTATCCCTATTCTAGGTTTCGATCAGGTAGACATAAAACCGGATATTATTTTTCGACCGGACCGGTCGATTATCCACCGGTCTGCATTCGCATCTTAACTCGTGAAATACCGATATTTGATAGTTTCGCAGATATCGAGCCATAAGCAAAAGCTTCAGTAAAATATCTATAAATGTAGATAAAAGGCTCGTGTGGACAAATCCTCTTGATGTTTTTCCTGTCCGATTGGAGACTACCTATCACCAACAGATGGGACCTAAAGATATTGTTCTACTCGAGCGGGTCCCGCCTAAGTGAAGTATACAATAAATACAATGTACTCAATACTAAAGGTAACAGTATGAAAAAAATATCGTCAAATATAAGCAATCATATTTCATTCATGCAGGTAATTATTCTATGTTGGAAGAAAGAAAATAATTACCACCTACTGTAATCATGGACAGGCGTCGCTCGCACACTCACATTATGAAAGAAACATTTTCAATATCGAGTGGTAAGCAGTCTTATTGCGTTATAAATATTTTTATATGAACAGTACTTTCTTCCTTTCCTACATGATTACAGTAGGTGGTAATTATTTTCTTTCTTCCAACATAGAATAATTACCTGCATGAATGAAATATGATTGCTTATATTTGACGATATTTTTTTCATACTGTTACC